TTAGAGTCACAGGTTCATCTCTGGACTGGAAGCAGAGTGACCTTCAGCATAACCAAATGGTGTGAAGAGCATCTCTGAAGACAGGGAAGGGCAAACGGCACCATCACCACATGCTGTGCATCTGGCAAAGTTCAGTATGTTTTATATACTCTAGAGCCCTTACTGCCTTGACAGATAAAAATCCAAGTTTTGTTTAGAGCCCTGGCTCCCCAGATTCTTTCAAGTCTCCTGACTTGCCATCCTCTGCCTGGAATTTCTCCTCTCATCCTCTTCTGTGTTTGGCTGGTTCCTACTCCATCCTAACAGGACCCAGCCCCTGTCAACTCCCTCTGCAAAGTCTTTTCCTTCCACAATGCTCCACTTACTCTGTGTCCCTTTACCCAGGAAGACTCTGTCACCCTGCTGTGACAGCTCTCCCACACTAGAGGCATTTCACCTTTCATCCTATCAGGCAGTGTCCTCAAGAGCAGGGCTGGTCTTATTTATCTTTGTATCCCTATAGCTAGTACCCAGCATAAGGCTGGTACACAGGAAATACTTCCCTTGGCTATTATGAACAGGATAAAATAGTGTATGATATATAAGACATGAAAAATAATTTAAAACCTAAATAACACATGGTTTGCTTCTTCAATAAAGAACTCCTAGACTGCATACATTTTTAATTAGGATGAACAGGGTTTTTGCTCCTTTCAACATATCTAACAAATTTGAAATATCAGTGTGTCCCAAATCATTTTTACTCATCTTGTAAATACATCATTGCTTTTGACATTTTATTGTTCTAATTTCTCTTGTGACATTTCAATAGTGACACCTGGTTCTCTCATCTACTGGAGAACCGGCAAGAGCAATACTGTATATCCAAAATTATTTTCCCAGAAAGAGGGCTAGCCATTGAATTTTAGGCAATCCTGTGACTTCCAGGCAGGTTATTTTCCCAGCTCAGAAATCTGTCTGTACAAATGGACTTCAAAAAGTTTATAGAAAAAATGGAATTAAAATACTAGTTTATTCAAATGCAAAGACATTTTGAAATCCAGGCATTTTTATAATACACATTTTTCATGAAATCTTTGGAGACCCTTTGTAATATTTACAGAAGAATATGTGTGTGCACACATGCACATGTTGGACAAATGAGGTGAGAAAGAGTGGGGGGGCTTCATGAGTTCCATGTGAGTTATTGTTCAAAACACATGTGACTAGGTGTGCTTTCTCACCTGCCTGGGTCCCTTCCTAATTCTCTGCGGAACTGAACAGGTTGAAGGCTTTTGGGAAACCTCACTAGATTATCTGTAAAATAAGTGTGTGGGGGATCACATCCTTGCTGTCCTCTGGCCTAGATATTCACAAGCAATGTATCAATGCAATTATGTACTCATCTTTCTATGTTCTTTATTTTCCCACAGAGGCCTCATTTCCAGTGGTTTCACAGAAACCCATTATCTGCAGAATGGTACTGATGTTTCCCTCACTCGAAATTACACGGTAATTCCTGCATGTTTGTTTCACCATCATACTCTGTTATTGAGTCTGTATTTAAGCTTTGGATCTATTTTATCCTGAGCAAAGTCAGATACTCAAATTCTTAACATGGGCCCCAAGAAGTATTTGTATATTCCTTGGTGTCTAGGCACCATTGTAGCTCCAAAAAACAAAAAAACAAACCTGGCCTGAACCAGGTATATGCCCGAATAGCCCTTGGAGGTATGGCTTTGTGGTAGAGCTGACCCTGAAACTGCCTTGAGCCATGGGATGTTCATTTGGGCACATCATTTTTTTACCAAATCTAGTCAAAACTAAAAATGGCTTGGAAAGCAATCATACCGGGGCTGAACTTGACTGCATTAAACTTAGAAGTGCTTTAAAAAAAATGTAAAGGAAACTGACTCTGCTTAACCAATTATAAATGTATCCACAATGTTAATGCGATTCTGTGCCATGGGTGTTACTGTAATGCATGCAGTATTACTGTTTAGCTTTTCTGGTATTTAAACTTTGATGTGTAACTTGAACAAAAAGCTGTTTTTATTTGTTCCTTAAGTAAACGTCTACTGTGTTCTCAAGTGATTGGCCCCACATGTGAATATGGGGATTCAAAGAGAGTAAGAGTCACTCCCCTGTGAGGACTAGGAATGTTAACTTATTTTAAAGAGCTCTGAGTACTTGTTTTAAAGGAATGAGCTTAGAAGCAGGTTTTACATTTATCACTGAAGCCTTGTCAGACAGCCATCACTGTCTGCAGTGAGTTTTTCCCTTCCCTGCATTATGCCAACACTTTTCTTTATCACATGTTTGGCTCTTGGCGCTGATACCTTCAGCCTTCCAGGAACGTGGTAGAATGAGCTGCTCAGCTCTCCCCAGCCTGAACAAAATACATCAAAATCCCACATAAGATACAAGCATATAACATTTTTTGTTAATGTCTGGTGAGGCTTAGGAGAGTCAGAGAGAGTTCCAGGAGACAGATATAAAAGAAGAAATGTTAGCCCAGAATATTAGTTGGTGAGTTGGGGCCAGAGGAGGCCCAGGAGCTATTTAGAACCCAAGGAGAGGTCCTGGTGAAGCAGGCACCTGCAACTACGAACTCCACAAATCTGG